AGATCTGATAATGGAACACACTTCTCAAACGAGGATCTACGTCTGGTTGAACAGATGTTTGGGATAAAACACAAGTTTGGGGCTGTCTATCATGCAGCCTCCCAAGGCCTTGTTGAGCGTGCAAACAGAACCATAAAAGAAGGGCTCGCGAAAGTCTGCGCAGACACTAACTTAAGCTGGGTTGAAGCTCTACCTATTGTATTGTTCAACCTCAGGTCCACTCCGAATACAACGCTTAATGTAAGCCCACATGAAATCCTGACAGGGAGAAAAATGCCCTGTCCTTTAACTGTTATGCCTAGAGATTCAACACCTCTTGTTTTACAGCATGCTGACATGAGTGAGTACATCAGACGACTGAACAACACCATGATGAGTGTCTCTGAACAGGTTGTTGAAATCCTGAGCAGGGACCAACCTAAGAAACCAACACCAACTCCAGTGGACAGCTGGGTCTATCGAAAGGTGCATAAACTTCACTGGTCAGAACCACGTTGGAAAGGACCTTACAAGGTAGCAGAAACTACCACACACTGTGTTAAACTGTGGCTCACTGAGAACAAGCTAAGTAAATGGATCCATAAGACACACTGTTCTCCAGACAATCTGATAAATACATTTGTATACTGTCCTATGTCCAGTTTAATATGCGGTCATTATTTCGCTCTAAGCTTTGTGCTCATTGGGGTGATGTAGGATGGAATACTGGACCTACATCATGGGGATACCAACCAACTGAGGCTCAGAAACATTCATGTGAGGGCAAGACTTTATTAGATCGGCTATCCATAGTCAAGGGGACAGCCCCTGATAATTGTAAGCTAAATCAATGTAATCCTTTGTACATAATGCTTCAGAACCCCTGTTTGACAGATAACGGCCACATGTTTGTACTGGGGGCTTATGTTTCAGGTGCTGATCCTTTAGGGGAATTTACAATAGATGTGCGAACTAATTTGAGCTATATCCATAGTCCATATGATTTACATACTCGTGACGGCTCTAAGAAAGATGATTCACGCTACATTTCTACTTCATCAGCTCTGCAGAAAAAATTTGTGATAGAAATAGGATTTGTTCAAAAAAATTATTGGCTTGAATGGGTTCAAAATGCAGCACGTAAAGCGTTAGTTAATACTTCTTGTGTCATATGTGCAGGACCTTGTCCTCCCTTGCTTACAGTGCCTTCTCTCTTATCTGATGCTAATTACACACACTGCATGCTTGGGCTGCACATGACTGAGAACCCTAGTACACCAGCCTGCAGAGATTTGGAAATTTATTACCCATTGGCACCTAGAGATGCAGTACCTCCTATCTTTACTGCAGTCAAAAATAATTACACTTGTATAACCAAAACTAATGCAACAGGAACTAATGTAGGTACTATTTCCTTAGATTGGTGCAACGTTACATTAAACGTCACCACATGGGCAAATGCAACACGTTTGACTTTTGCCAGATCTGATGTGTACTGGTATTGTGGTGAATATAGACTACTTAATATTCTCCCTCCTGACTGGTCTGGCACTTGTACAATGATATTTTCCATTTTGATGAGGATTGCTTTATTTGTATCTTTCAATTTTTGTGTTATTCATTCTGCTTATTTCTTCCAGTCATTTGCGAATCCTTTTTGGGTGGTGATCAGGAGAGTTGATTTTGTTTGATGAAATGCCCGTGTACAGTTAGCGGACATACAGGTTCGGGAAATTAGGGAGTGAAGGTTATAAGTTCCAGGTCACAACGGCTGGCCTGTACAGAGAGCAGGGTGGTCCAGAACCTAGAAGGTGTTGCTTTGCTATTAATAGTGGGTAGTGTGTTTAAGTTTCCTTTACCAGAGATTTAGTTGTTGTTTTTCAGGAGCAACTGGCAGCCACCTCTCTTATGTCATATCAGAACAGATTGGCTTTAGACTTCATTTTGGCCGAAAAAGGGGGTGTTTGTACTATGATTGGACAAGTGTTGTACTTACATCCCAAATAACACTGCTCCTGATGGTTCCATTTCTAGGGCTTTGACAGGGTTAAAAATCTTATCAGAAAAGATAGCTGAACATTCAGGAATTCAAAATTACATTGATGATTGGTTTGTTGAAATTTTTGGCAAGAGGAAAAATTTTGTGATTTTTCTGTTTACATCTTTTGTGGCAGCAGAGTTCCTTTGCTGACCTTGTGTGGATGCGGCTGCATCCCCTGCATTAGGCATCTTTGTCTAAAGTGTATCACCACTGCCACTGATAACAGATACCCCTTGCCCCCTGCCTATGAGATGGTTCAATACCATTCTCTACTGGAAACCATGCCCATGATCTCGCTCACTGAGCCCGGTGAGTCTGAGATTGAAGAGGATCCCTTCGATGGGGAAGAAGACCGTGACTCTTCTACATATCCACATATATTCTTGCATACACGTAGGTGATGTGGACTCATAGGTGTGATTGATTTTGATTATTGAATAGAATTTGGTAATTAATGTGAGATACTGGAAGAAGATCATTAGTCTCCAGTATAATGTATTCCCCCTGCAAATGTTATGATTAACCAATGAATTGAAAGCTATTTTTCCCAGTTCTCTTAACCAGCAACTCAGAGAGACGAGGCGGTCCAAGTGGATACAAAAAA